GGGTAACTAACTATCGGCGGGCGGCGCGATCGACGAAATCTCGCGCGATCCCCGTCGCGCTTTGTCGTGCCTTTTGGTAAGTTCAATGCGCACAGATCGCCACGGATCCATGCCACTATTGCCACTGCGAGAAACAGAGCGACGCGCGCGTGTGAGTGCCGCACGCGACGCGCAACGTGACGTGACATCCGTGGATCCGTGCGTTCATGTGCGTCACACACGCTTGAAAAGGCTAATCTAAACGGGCGAGGAGAAAGATCGGAGGAGATCATTCATTCGCGTTACCGAATCGTGAGCTATGCCGAGGAGCAGAGCGGAAAACATCCAAGATCGTAATCGATCTTGATAATCGGAGTAATGAATTTTTAAAAGTCAAACTTTCTGATTATGACAATTCTGTGATTCGTGGAACACTTCCGTAGAGTCTCTTTTACTTCGTGTTACGGTTTGTGTAATGCTAAGGCGAACAATAGAACAACGTTCCTTAATTGCTGTCAAATTATCGTGAGAATATCTTACTAATTACTCGATTTATGTTGACAAAAAATTACTAAATCTTAATACATATTTCTTGTGGTATAGTACTGTAGATAAACATTTACTTACAGCAAATAAATATTTATTCGGTAAAAAAATGATAATTAAATCAAATTAATGATCCTTGTATTAAATAAATATATGTTTATATTTAGTAAGTATTTACTTAGAGAATATTGAAACAAATATTTATTAAAATTTAATATTTATTCTTCAGTGTATTTGTTTGTAGACTAAATCTCGTTCTATGTAAATGTTAAATAAGTTTTAATATATTATTAATGTACACGGTAGAAAACATTTCATGTTTGCATTGAAAATAGTCCACTCAAGTTCTTGTTGAATTTTTTAAACATATTTGAGTGTTAATTTAACATAATGTGATTGTTATTTAAACACTTTATTTATTAATATTCGGCATTTTTTAGTGTCAAAATTACATAATTTATAAGTAAACAAATATCACAAAAATAATGTGTTTTGAAACATAAATTCTAAGATGAATGAATAAAATGTGTTAATTTAAACGTATTTATCTTATGTTAGATCAACACACAAATTTTTTTTCAACGGTGTATAATTATATTAATGATATATCATTAATTATAAATATTAGAACTATCAAAGCAGTCAAAATAATTTTTTTAAGAGATATAATAGCGTATGTGTAGAAAAAATAACGTAAATGATATACGTTAATCGTCGATTCCAGTGTTAAATTCCTCGATGTTGCGTGTAAATTTTGTATTGAATAGAATTCTTTATAATTGAAACTTTCGTGAGAAAACTTGACGTCTTCTCGAGTTGCAACTCCAGCGCAACGTAATTTTGTTAACGAAGCATTGCCAGCGCTTTATATTTCTCGTTAGCCGTGTCTCTGCTCCTCAGGTTGCTCCACTTTTCGCCCGCGAGCATCACGTCGTTGTCGCACGTCGCACGTCGCGCCGTCAGCGATGGTGACAAAAATTGATCGGTGCGGTTAGCAGATCGGGTCACGTAAACGCGCGAGCTTTCAATCGCGCGATGTAAATGCGCCTCCGCGATCAATGCCTCCGCTTCGTGTATAAGGTGTCCCGCCGTCGATCGTGTGAAATTTTAATAGACCTTTAACGCATTCGCACGCTCCGCTTCCCCACGGTGGAAACTTTGAAAAAAAATTTACCCTCGGGACACTCGAGGTCTGAAGAATTCTGTCCAGCGCGAAAGAATCGTAGATTAAGCTTCAAAATGAAACGATAGCAAGAAATAATAACATTGTATTTCAGCGTAATATTATATTAGTTAGAGTCAAATTAAATCTCGTATTCGTGATCATTATTTAATTATTCAAAGATAATTTTTGGAATATCAATAATTTTGATATTAGGTGAAAATCTTGTTCGTTGAAAAAAGAAGTTTTGTATCTTTTATTATGTTTAGCGATACTAATTGTTAGAAATTTTCATAATAACGATAAATAACTAATCACACATCATGTGCATTTGTATCGTAATTCTTAATGCTTACTTTGTTATGTAACATCTCCGTTTGTTATCTAACATTCGTAAATATTTATAATATTATTAAACGAGGCTGGTATTATCGATGGGCTTCCGCAATTTAATATCGAATAATATGCTGATTGGAATTAGCGAAGAATTGCCTCCGGTATCTCTAATTTCTTTCAGATCTGGTGGTGGGTTCCTCCGGTTTTCCGCTAATTCAAGATTCCGTCGAGGTGCGCAGTGGTTAAAACACTAACTCACACATAATCCGCTCGTCCTTCATTTACGTCGATACCTAAATAGCGATTAACGCGCGTTTAACGTACTCGTTCGCTCGTCAACGTCTAGTCAGAAGGATAGAGGAAAAAAAAGGGAAGAAAGAAGAGAAATGAATCGGCGAAAAAGGAAACCGTGACACTCTGATCGAGATAAGGGTCGACATATGCGAGAAACCAAGCCAAAGAGTGTAAATATAGAAACAAGATAGCTAAGCTGATTCAGAGGGATCTCTCGACGGTCATCTTCCTCGTCGTGATGATATCGTACTAAAAAAAAAATTCAATTCCGTATACCAAGTTCCTCCACATTCCAAAGAAAATCGACATGCTCGGAGTAACGAAATACAGAAGCGAACGGTCGCTTGAGATTGAATTTCAGAAAATCGATTATGAAGCTTTTATCAACGTCGAGTAATTAGATAAGATAGATAAGAATCGAGAGACTTGATCAAAGTGTTATCCAAGTGCCATTCGAGTATTATAGATTACGTTGAAGTGCGACAAATTAAATGAAAGCGCGAAACAAATAGCGTAGCTGACTTTTTGAAAAATAATCGGCGGAAGAAAATGAATTCGAGGATATCGATCGGCGACACGACGGCACTAAAATTGTGACGAGGTAGTCGAGTTCTCTGGTAACATCGATGCAGTGTTGGCCGGACGAGTCAGCGTTTCCAACTCAGCGAACACAGAGAGCGAGGAGATTCCCTTTCGTTGAAAAAGCCTTTCGCGATTTATCATAGTTTTTGCACAAATCGATGGTACCGAAAGGAAACGTTTTCATTTTCTATAGATTGTTTAATCGCTTTAAGTCCATTAAGAAATAGAAAATGCATAGTCAAAGAAGTGAAGTTCTCAAAGAGAACTTACATTTCGATGTAATGATCCTTTTCTGACGTTTATTAAGTAAATATGCCGATATAATTATAATTGATATTCCATTATCGGAAAAATTAACGGTCGATTGAAGCTAATATTACCATCAAGTTATACAAAGAGAAAACAATAAATCATCTATAGAAGAATATTCTCTGGAGATTCAACCGCCACTTACATATTAAAATTAATGGAAACCAAAGAAAAAAAAACAACGAGATAAGTCACGAGATACGTTCCAAATTTACGATTCTATTCGGAACCCCCGAAATGAATTAGCATTGAAGTAAAGCGACGGTAAGTGCTCTGTTCAGGCAAACAGCAGGGTGAAAAAGGTGAGAGGTCGCAGACGGCAAAAAGGAAAGAAGGAAGGAAGGAAGGAAGGAAGGAAGGAAGGAAGGAAGAAAAGAAGGCGATAGTCGCGCGGAAGCAAAGGCTAGAACCCGTCTGGAAGAACGCGGAAGGGCGACGGAATCGAGGGGGTTCAGCGAGCAGGGGTGGAAGAGAGGAAGAGGAACACCGGTTATCGTCGGGAGGGGTTGCATCGGGGCTGATATCGACCGAGGATTGCGCTTGCGTGGAAAAAGGCGCGAGCGCAATTGTACGGTCGTTCCCAGAGAGCAACGGCGCCCTCCGCGTCGAAAGAGGAAAAGCCCTCCTGTTCCCCGTCGTCAGTCGATCGTCGCGTCGACGAGAAACGGGCTGCTACTACCACCATTCGGGGAAGACTTCCGGTTTCTCCAGGCAGAGCCGGCAGAGGCCGGGTGTACAACACGGTGATTCCAACGCCCGCACTGGACCGCACTTCCGGAAGCGAGCTGCCCGGGCGCGACCTCGCGGAGAGCTCGACTCCGCTCGGCACCGCGTTGTGAGTCCGTCATCGTCACCGGGGGACGGGGAAAACCCGCAGGCGGTCCGAGGCGGAGGGGGGTGCAGGCGAAGTATATCGGGACGATAAGAGCACGATAAGCGGACTGCGTTTTATAAACGCCTATGCGTGTGCGCACCTTTTCTCTCCTCTCCGCCTCTCTCTTGCTCTCTCTCTTCGACCTCGTCATGCTGATAAAAGACGAATCTGAAGTTTTCCTCGAGAAAGACCGCGCTGCTACCAGTTCGGATCTGGCAATGCCCCGTGCAGGTCATTAAGACAGTGCGGCGACTCTAGAATAGATATCTAGAACTGGTGGATTTTTTCAAACTCTTTGCTCTGTCGTTGATAATGATCGGGGTCACGGTCGCGTCCCGCACATCGGTGTCCGATCATCGTGCGTTTGAAATGTGAAGCGACATCGATGCCTGGCGACTTTATTCGGTTTGATATGGAGATACGTGAATTATATGGATAATAAATTTTCACAGATTGAATAATTCGCCATTTGTAGAGTCTCGGTATCGAACTTATATTGCACGTCGTCGAACGTACCTATCGACATGTTTCTTCGAGGTAGCAGCGCATGCTTACAAGTTTGATCGAAGAAAGACGCAATGATCAATGTGAGTTATTTTAAAGCGGGCGATCAACACGTACATACAGTATGCAGAGATAATCGAAGTCGAGCGTCGAAGTCTCTCGAGGCGTTATCGGAGTTCGGGCTGCCTGGACGCACGGCGCGATGATTAGCATGCAGCAGCAAACGATTTTGAATAATGTAACCGGGCCCGAGCAGCCACAGGAAGAAGTGCAGCTGACCGAATTGCTGCCAGTGAAGCAATCGCATATCAGAGAAAATGTCTTCAAGGATACCGACGCGACCGATGCTCTGAGGGCACTCAGGAGTCTCTCGGGCGACTGCAGCGATGGCGATAGCTTTAACCTGCGGGAATTTAACTTCTGCAAGAACGTCGAACAATTGGAACGTCGGGGCAGCAAGCATCGACGAGTGGAGGTTTGTCGCAAAAAAACGAAAGAAATCAAGAACAATGCTAAAAACGTAGATTTTTATCAAGAGAAAAATAGCGGGGTGGTGGAGAAGAAAGTAACAATACGTAACAATAGCAAGATCGCTCACGTGAAAGCGTCGAAAAGGAAACTGACGAGCTCGTCAAGCAAGAAGAAGGATGACGACGGGGAAAGTAATTATGGCATGAATGAGAAATCGATTAGGAAGAATACTACTGAATGCGACGAAGAATTCCAACACCACTACGACGAAGAAGACGAGGACGAACAATTGTACTTGGACCTGGAAAAGAAAGACTGCTTTAAGGACGAGATTTACGTATATAGACGGGAACCGTTGGATCCGTGCTCGAGTTCGGAGCCAGAGGAACTAGGTGCGATCAGTCATAAGGATTTTTGTGAGGATTATCCTACCACGGATGGAAAATTATTTGATGGAAAAGGAACGTTTGTTGAAAAGATATCCAACGTAGATAACGTAGAGAAAGACAAATTCAAAGCAGATGACATTACTGAGAAAGAAATTCCCGAAAAGGAGCTGAGATTAAAGATCGACGCCATCATTCAAGCGAATTACTTGCTCGAGCGCGAAAATAATAACGTTGTGGGTTCCGACGAATCAAAGATCAAAATCGTAGAGCACATTGGCACCTCCTCTGCTTCCGCGGAAACGAAAAAGACGAAGAGGAAACGAATTGATCATGAGAAGACCAGACAATTGAAGGATCAACAGAATTCTCAGAAGAAATACTGCTGTGTCGTATGCGACGCGCGTTTCAAGGGTAGCGGTGGTTTGCGAAATCACTACAAAGTAGTGCACGGTGCCGGACCGGTGTTCAAGTGCGATGAGTGCGGTAAGGAGTTTCCATTGAAGGAACGGTTGAAACTGCATGTGCGCACACATACCGGCTTCAAACCGTACAAGTGCCCGGAGTGCGATAAAAGTTTCGCGCGGGGTGGCCAGCTGGTACAGCACCGTCGCACGCATAGCCAGGTCAGGCCGTTCCACTGTAAGCTGTGCTCCAACACCTTCACGTGCGCGGCCAATCTGTCGCTACACTTGAAACGTCACAACGGCCAGAAGGATCACAAGTGTGACCTGTGTGGACGCGCTTTCGTGCGACGCGACGCCCTGAAGAAACATCTGGAATGCCTGCACCGTGACGTCAAGTCATTCCTCTGCGCGATCTGCAACAAGACCTTTAAGGGCCACCTACCGCAGCACATGAGGACACATGCGCGCGACCGTCCGCACGGCTGTGCTACGTGCGGCCAACGATTTGCTCAAAAGTCCCAGTTGACCGTGCACCAAAGGACCCATTCTGGCCAGCGGCCGTTTCGCTGTCTAGTCTGCTGGCAAGCTTTCGCTCATTCGACCGCTCTGAAGCTGCACACTCGACGTCATACCGGGGAACGGCCGTTTAAGTGTCCCGAATGCAATGCCGGCTTCACTCAACTGCCACACTGGAAGAAGCATATGAAGTGCATACATGGCAGGAGCGATCCATACGGCTGCAAGCGTTGCAAGAGATTTTTCAGGATTAAAAGCGACCTGGAAAGTCATGAGAAGACTTGTCATCCAGAAATGGAGGTGGAGGACGACGATGGTGGCGTCCCGGCCGGTAAACCGGCTGGCTGCTCCGAGATCGTTGAGAAGAATTCTGTCACTGCGAAATATAAACTAATGACGGTGGAGAAGATGCGGTTGCTGTTGGCAGTACTGTTGAAGAGGATCAGCAAGCAGGAACGGTTGGACGAGCTCGGCTTCGGTAAACGTCTTATCGACGACGTTCTTCAGGATTCCCTGGTGTCCGCTGGCAAAGAACCGGTCACGAGGAGCGGCTTGTCCGAGCTTGAGGCTCTCACTCGAAACTTAGAAATTTTTCTAGAATGGACAGTACCGAAGGAGCATTGGGAGAATTTCCGTAAAATGAAAAAATCACCCGAAGATATTCTGGAGACGCTCACAGCTACGTAAACACGTTTTCCCATTAATAATAGTTTTATTATCCTTTGCGTAAAGATTAGAAAAAAAGAGTGAGATAAAATCAATAGTATAAAAGTCATTTCACGTTTTTCTACACTCGGTCTTAACTATATCAAAATTTATATCAAAATTTAATTATTTTATTCGACTTATTCTTTTTCTTAATATTTTTTTCATCCAACTTTACACGAAACTTTTTATCTACAATTTTTATGTTTTTTGTTACGTTTATAATTTATAATTATAAAATTCTTTTAAGGAAAGAAATAGAATGCCGGACATTTGCAACGCGGTCATGACATGATCTCTATTCATTACCTTTAATTATGAAGATTAATGACGATTTTCAAGAGAATTCTATATATATATATATATATATATATATATATATATATATATATATATATATATATATATATATATATATATATATATATATATTTAGTCGTTTCTAATCACATCAATCGAAGATAAAACGGTCAAGGTGATATCGAAGAAGTTTCCGTGTGATATCTGATCTAAAATAATTAACGAATGTTAATTTCTGTGGTGCCATGTGTCATAATACTTGCCATACTAAACCAGTGACTAGACCGTGTGATTTAGAGGAGCTAAGCAAATTCTTTTATTTGATTGTAGCATAAGATAAATCGCATTGGAGTAGAATATGTATTGTCGAATTTAATTAATGAAAGCCAGGCGTGTTTCTCTCAAACGACGGAAACAAACTGCCGCGCTTCTTCGGCGACTGAGGTAGAATTAGACGTTCTCTTGCCATATTTGTTAAAAACATGCATACACATGTTGGTGAACGACGCAGAATCAATTTAACACATACATTTTAATCATAAGCACGACTGTTCGTCAATCGTATAGATACCAAAAGAAAACCAGAAATGAGGCTAGCACGAGTCATTTGCAATTATGTTTTTTCATGCATAATCGTTATATTATCCTATATATTTATAAAGACATCTATATACATATCTATATATATACACATACACATTTATGAATTTAATATTATGAGATTTTGTTATATATAAATGTGTTCACGGACGCGTCCGCGGAAAATTGATATTCGACAGTCCTGCGCGACGTTCCCGTTGTAGTTGATACTATTATTCGTTATTTATCTCACTTATACATGCACTCGCGCGTAACTGAGGGCTTGATTGGCCGCGGATGAGTAAACATGTTGGCGTGCCATCATTTTAGATAGTCATAGTAAATGTGAGCAGACAATAATGAACGAAGGTTGCAAGTTTAGTATATATTAGTCATTGAAGAGAAGAAAGATATATATTATATCCATATACACACACATATATATACTTATATACATATATATATTGGTATTAGATGAATATATGCTGATGGAGCCGCGAGGGGAGAGGAACATATTTTTTTTTTTTTTAATTGATTCTAAAGATGCTAAATTCCAGAAAAGTAATAGCAATTTATTTTACCTCGATGAACGAGAGTCGAATTTTACAGTAATATAAATTTACTGTAATGTTAGATTGATGCAAATAATTCTTTTTATAGACGAAGACGTTTTTGCTAGTGCATAAAATCAAAATTGACTTGGTATTCTTATACGCAAAGTTCCTTTCCTCGACGTACCATGAGGATATTTCTCAATCGTGCGTTTGGATAAAAATAGTAAAAAATATTGCAATCGGAGGTGCTATTTTGTGCGATATAATCGTTTGCAATACTTGAAGCTGTTGCTTGAAAAGAAATTTGTTTTCTGAGCTTTCTTTTCGGCGCGCAAGAATAATCCAAAGACTTTGTTCCTTTCATTGCCAAATATATCGTATGTATCGTTACGTTTTATATTATTTCAATTTTATTATTGTAGGTACCGAGGTATATTTTGCGCCTGTAAAATAAGAGAAAAGTAAGGGAGCGATATGAGTAACGTGTGACGCACCTTAATGTATTAACATGAACCCGAATATATTGGCGTACGCAGTGACTTAGCATTTTCAAATTTATTCGAAAGATCGAAATCTATACTTCGGTTGTGGATGCAAATGCGGGTCGGAGTGCACTTTGAATATAGATCGAGGTCGGAGAAGAGCCATTTCGAATGGTCGACAGGAAGCGTAGCTTCTCACAACGAAATCCACTAACTCGATGATTTTGAGTTATGGTGCCAAATCAAGTAAATAGCGCTCTCGAGAATGATTGTCTTTTGCGAATTTTATTTTTTTTCGCGTAAGATCACGGAAATTAATATTCGAATCACATTTTCTTTTCGGCATCAATGAAATCGGGATGCTACTTATTGTTTTTCTTTAGTGCCATAAACTAAACGTAGTCATATTTGTACATTAATATAATGTGCGATGTGTGGGAGAAGACAATTTGAATAAATACGTTTCTTTATTCGCTGGTTTTCTTTCTTCGTCAACATCACTTTCCTTTTCATTTTCATGAATAGAGATTAATAATGCGTTGCAAAATTTGGAATCATTCCATATATATATATATACACATGTAAATAAACAATGATTTAAATTGCTTCATTTGTATGTAAACAATGATTTAAATTGCTTCATTTTTTCACACGCTATTTGTATAATTGCATAAGAAAAATATATCAACTTAAAGTAAAATATCTATAAAAAAAGCACATAAGTGTAGCATTTATCACATATATCAAGTCATGAGATTCACATACCGCGATCAAAAAATTTACGTATAATTAATATTGAAAATAGATTCTTCAAATATCCAGTTAAATATAAATGGTTGTCTCATATCCACTTGTAAACCAGTAATATGTAAGCTCTGAAATAATTTTTATATATTTAAAAACTCACTTTTTATTATGCCATTTTATCTTCATCGTTTTATTCAGGTATTCATCATTATTTAATAAAACACTTACCGATGTAGAAAGATTAAATGAAAATCCTATCTCATTGTTGTTTAGGAACACTGTGATGACTGGTCGTAATCCAAAAATCTGTACTGTTCCCAGTATTACCTCTTCATTAAAAGAACCTTTATCCATTTCCATATTCAATAAACTTGATTGATTTGCAATGAAAGACAGCCACAAATACTCTTTCTTTTTTATGGAATCTATACATTAAAAATAATTAGTAGTCAAGATACACACACACACACAATTTAACATACAATCATTTAATACAAGATATGTTTTACCTAAACTATCTCCATCGTCCCAATACAATTCTCCTATAGCATTTTTAGTTTCATTCAATGTTACTATTAATTCAAAATTGTTTTTTCTGCTCTCTGTCGTTGTTACACCCGGTTCCTGTGCTGGAAGAATCGAACCTGCACGAATCAATAATGGTATTTTGTCAATCGGTGCAGGGAAGGTATAATGTTTTCCAATGGAGAAATAGGAATTGAAGGTATAATAATCATACCACAAACCACGTGGCACATAAACAGTTACCGCAATTTTGTTCTGCAAAATATAAATCAAAGCGATTAACTAAATATCACAGCATCTCATATTATGTAAATTATAAAATAAATTGATGACATACCTCTTCGAGAACTGGGTTGATCATAAGCGAATTTCCCCAAAGAAATTGTTTATCAATGTCGTAAGTTCGCCGATCTTCAGTAAATCTATTAACATTCATTATATATATATATATATATATATACATATACATATAAAATGTTATTCACAATATAGGTACGACACAAAGCATTGATACGTACTCAAAGAAAAGTGGCCGTGCCACGGTTTCCCCAAATTTATGTGCTCTGAAGAATAAGGTGTACAAATATGGTAAAAATTGATAACGTATTTTGAGAGAATTTTTTGACGATTGTACAACCAAATCGCCCATAGCAACTGGATCTTGCTCCTATATACATGTATATTAATATATTTACATATTATATTGAGAATATTTCAAATTCAATAATTATTATTGAAATTATGTATCGATGCATCGGCACTCACACTTGTACTATCGGAATTATGATTTCGAGAAAATGGATAAAAAGCACCAAGTTGCATCCAACGATTGCACAATGCAGTAGTTGCGTTTCCGTTAAAACCGCAAATATCTGCGCCCACCATTGGAATTTGATAAAAATTGAGTGACAAAATAGCTGGAATACTCATCTTTAAATCATGCCTGATAAAATGATTTTTTAATTAGTTATATATTATATAACGGAAGTATGATGAGATGTACATTAAGATGGATTCTAATTACCATGATGAATAAATGTCACCCGTCCAATGACCCGCATAATGACCATGTCCTACCCATGTCGAACGCGATATTATAAATGGTCTCTTTAGTCTAATTTTCCTAAGAGCACTGCACATAGTTTGAAATAGGATAAATTCTTAAAAGAACAATAATAATCTGCTTGTTACTGGAATTACAATATAAAAATATATAAAGAAAAACCGACCAAAGACGAGCTAATAAATTAGGATGTTATAATATCAGTTAAATTTAATGTTTAATATACATTAAAACAAGCGAAACTAGTTTTAACTTTACAAATCTTCATCAGTTGCATAAAGTTTACATTATAAATATTAATTAAAATATAAATAATCAAAAATCGAAAAAAGTAAAGTTACGGAAAATCATAATAATTACGTCTAGTATAGATGCAGTCAATCCATAATCTCGCAGCCACAAACACGACGGATCATTGCGTTCTCAACCGTTGCTAATATTGGAAGTAACAAATTTTTACCAATATCTTATTCCATAATTGATTGGTCACAATTTATATATGGTTGTTCGTCATTTCGTTTTCCAACTGTTGACAATATCTGATGTGGAAATTGTACCATAGCTTATTTCATTTGTTAAAATTGATTAATTAAAGATTGAAATTTTAATTGATCAAGAGATATCAAAAGAGCAATCAAGTTTTGGTCGTAACTGCGAGACATTATGGATTAATTGCATCTATACTAAATGTAATCAATATAATTTTCCGTGACTTTTTATTCTTTCTAATTATTTATATTTTAATTAATTTGTAACGTTAACTTTACGCGACTGATAAAGACTTTATAAAATTGTAACTAGGTTCGCTTATTTTAATGTATATTAAATTTAATTGATATTATACAGATCTTTAAAGTATTATTCCGCAAACATAGTGTTTTTATCTTAAAAAGAAAGAATTTCCAAATCTATGTTTATATGACCTTTTTTCGTCCTTAAGCCCCAGACACAATGCGAAGGAATAGCGATAACGATAGAAATAACACGATTTCAACCTATCAGAAACTGTATATTCCAGTTATCTGATAGATTAAAATCGTGTAAATTATTTCTATCGCTATCGCTATTTCTTCGCATTGTATCTGGTGCTTAAGGAGGAAAAAAGGTCATATAAACATACATCCAGAAATTCTTTATTTTTAAGATAAAAACACTATGTTTACGGAATAATACTTTAAAGATTGTGTCTGGGGTTTAGGAACACTAGAACATGATATCATCAAAGTTTGGACAATTTTGGGATACTTTGTATAAACATCTTAATTTATTAGCACGTCTTTGGTCGGTTTTTCTTTATTATATATTTTTATGTTATAAATCTCAAATTCTCTCTATAAAAGTTGAAAGATTATAGATTAGTTTTTTTACTTACTAATTTGTGGTAATCGCTTGGCTTGTTCCATAAGTATTGTGAAGATTATAATGAGTGCCCAAATAATGTTTCGCATTCATGCAAAAAGTTTTCGTAGCGAGCAAACCGCCAACATTGGGAATATATTCGGGATAATCTAAATTATTATGTGTACAACCATTCTTATGACCATTGTAGAAATTGGATGGTTCGTTCATATCCTTGATGATTGAAAATTTAAAGTAGTTTAAAAATAACTCAATAATATTGAAGTAATTTTTAACAGTCGATACTTACAATCCATGCACCATCGTACGCAAAATTATTATGCATATCGCCCATCATATTTGCATAATAGACCATAGTTTTAGGATTTGTGAAATCGGGCCATACCGTGGAAAAAAAATTCCAAACTTTACCGATGAAAGGTTTGTCGGATTCACCGTCTTTTACGAATATGTCTTGTTTTATTCCTTCGACGTAAGGCAGATAAGAACCATTATCATCGGAACCAGATATGCCGGCATCAATTATAGGTATATAATGCATTCCTGCCTAAAATAGAAAACAACTGTGATGTATGTTGACTTATCGATTGATAATCTTTTATACAAGTATACTATACCGAGTGAATTTCTTCTACAAACTTAGGCAAATCTTTAAATTTCTCTTTATCATATGTAAAATCATTATTTTTATCCATATAATCCAGATCATTCCATTGAGTATCCTATAAATAAATATAATTCATGATAATGTAGCTTATATTCTGAAATATTTTAAAAATGTTATAAAAGTAGACATTACAAATGGGATTCCAGCTGTTCTCGTTCTGCTCCATACTGCTTTAGTATTTTCCAGCGATCCATATCCATATCTAATCAATGTACAAAATATTAATGTAAAATCGCATGTTGAAGATATTATTTTATACTGATATAGTACCTGCATAAATGGAAACCAAGCGACCAATAGGGTGGCATAAATGGTTTGCCTACAATTTCAGAATATTGTTTCACTACATCGGCTGGAGTCGGTCCCAGGAAAAAGTAAATATCAAAAATACCACCGATTGTTCTAAACGTTATAGCCGGTGTAGGCTGCAGTATCACATCTAAAATACATGAAATTATTTGGGAAAGGAAATTATATGTTTTAGTCATATATCTGTTATATATGTTTTAGTCATATATCTGTTTTAGAAAAAGTAAAAAGCGTACCCATAGCATTACTGTTTAAAAATAAAACTCCATGAGCCATTCCGGATTCCTCCATAACAATATAAAATGGATGAGATCCATACAGACTTGCCTAATTAGATAAATAGAAAAGATATTATTTGCAATATATGCAGTAATAATCCATTTGTCATGTGTATGATAAAATTGAGCAACGTACCTTTTCCGTTGGCGGTTGATCTTTATTAAATAGAGTGAATATTTGCCAACTAGTATTTAATTTTAAGCTCGATTGATGCTCGCCAATGCCATAAATGTTACTTGTTGGTAACAATGAGCTTATTTGTAGAAACTGGTCAGCAAATATGAAACCTCCAATCCCAATGGAATTAAATCTGCATACAAAGTATATTAGAAAAGTAATTAAAATAATTTTCATAACTTTGTTTAGTAATGAAAATTAAAAAATTTAATTTTTACGATTCCATTAAAACCTTACCCATTAAACATTAACTAACAATAATATGACATCAATGTTATAATTTCACATTCAATATAACTGTTATGTACAACATGTCATATTATACTTATATTGTTAAGTGTGAAATTATAACTTTTATATGTCGTATGGCTATGTTAATTGATGCTTTTACTGAGTATAGATAATATTCTGAATACAACATACAAAGTAATTTATACTTACAATATTGTGCCATCACTGATTCTATTGACTTTAAAGCCAGGTTTTACATCATCGCTATTAAATTGATATTTCGTGTCAGCAACTTGATATAAAAATGGCTTCGAATCCGATCTAATTGGCCATGGTGGTTCATATCGTGTTTTAAAGGGATCATATATCTAAAAATTGTATATTATTCTCTTATTAAGTGCGATACAAAACTTAAGCCAGTGGCACACGATGCTTGTTTTCCTGCTGGATTGCTAGCTGGAAAACAAGCATCGTATGCCGCAGGCTTATATTCTGTAAATATTATTATCTGGGGACACTGGTAGTGTCTCGGTGCTAAGCTATGATACGAGACACGAACGTGCCTCCTTTATGCGAACCGGCTTTACCTTCACACGCAGAATTGAGCTGTCTATACTTGTGGCTTCGACCTTGACAAGGGGCACATTATTCTTGTAAACAGATTCTTTTTCTTGACTGAGAAAACCCAAGAAATTACTTCCATCCTGACTGCGGTTAACGTATTTATACAGATTCCATCCATCGGGATAGTAACAGTAAGGAATATATAGCGGTACATCCTTCTCATTTTTGTTATTCTCGCGAGGATTCCAACAACATCCTCTATTTATGCAAGAAAGTTGCGATGCTCCATCCTCTGGATGACAATCAAAGCGTAATATTTCAGGAACGTTGCTGCACTGCTTTAAATATACGCATATAATATAATAACGCAATAAACACAAATATAAATGACATAATATGTTATTTGTTTTTCTTATAATGAAGACTATAAAGAGAGATTTAAATTTTGCTTACTTGAGCATTGTTAAAAGCTGTGTTTTCTTCAGACAAGTTACTTTCTTCCTTCAAAGGCACTATTTTACGATTATATGTTTCTTGTTCGATGTATATATCAGAAGTATCCACTAATATATGCTGATATCTTGTCTCCTCAATGCTATCATTATTTATATCAATCATAAATTCCACTTCTGCATTGTAACTATTCATAGTACGTAATGGATTTATAATTGCGTATAATAATGGAAGACCGAGATGAAACAACAATAAAGCCATGACGAGACCCAAGAATAACGTCATTATCATACGTTTTACATTGTAACGTTTATCAAGATTCGACTCTTCTTTTTCGTGTTTTTTCATTGATGTCTCATAGAATTTATTGTTTAATGTTTTAACCACAATGGTATTAAATTTCTCCATAATTTTGTTTGGACGATCTTTGGTTGCACTGTAATATCCTGATTTTTCAGAAACATCTTGCCCATTTGCCTCTACATCAGCCATTCTTCGAGTCCTTGATCAAAACTCTGCTGCCACAAATAACCTGTTAATAACAAGTTGTGTCTAAAAGCGATAAGAATTATTATGAACAATTTACACGTGAACATATTTGTACAAAGACTACACAATCATTGCTATCAGTAGAACAAAATAATAATGTTTCTTTAACCAAGTCTAAAATTAAATGGATATAAATATATCTATATATTTAAATGAGTATATTTTTCAATGGATTGCTTTTGAGCAAACTGTAATTTTTTTCGTCTTACTGATAATGTTATTATCGTCCTAATGCATATATTTCTACACGAAAAATATATTGCGTTTTATACTACGCATTTTAATATATATATTCCTTATAGATATATTCAGATTGATGTAACCTGCAAATAATCGGAATTATACGTATTCGTTGCACAAATACGCACTAGACTTCTGAAAATAATATTTCGTATTGCATATAATCACTGTACACAAAGAACTCACAGTATTATTTTCGAGCACAGAATCTCGCGCTGCGGTTCTGAACCGCTCGCCGTACTTTGTCGATATCACTGGCTGGCGGCTGCTATACATTATGAACATCTGATCTTGCCTCGTGTGTATTGGATCTTATATATTTGCACGCAACGTGTGCATCAGACATGTATCACGTGTTATCTTTGTTTAGACCATCGAACTCACGTTGTAAGATGAGAATGAGAATTTTCCAGCAAGAGATACTTATCGATATGTAGAGAGAAACCATTCTATCTTCATTCGGTATTGAATGAAAATAAAAATAGAAAATTCTTATTGATGATCTATCCATGGTAGGACCATGGATGTATCAATAATATACATGATAAATCGATCTTTTTACATCTTTAATACAATACAACAAACCTTTACAATTTACATTATATTACCTTTATATTATATTTACATTATATTATTTTTATAATATATTTATGTTATATTATACAATATTCCAATATACTCGAAGATATATAAGAAAACAAAATAGAAAACATTGTTGTAAAAATTACAAGCAATCTTTCTATTGTTATCGGTATTATTCGCTTATCAAACATTTAAAAAAAATGATTGTTAAGTAAAGTTATCTTTAAGCTGACTGAGTCAGAATTCGTCCGATATCTGCCTATCTTTAAGCTGACTGAGTTAGAATTCGTCCGATATCTGCCTATTATCAGTGTTTTTTCAAAATTTCTCATGCGTTTATCAAAAATATTTATATCATTATATGTTGCTGATATCTTTTTAAAGTAATGTAATAAAGGAAATAGATGGAAAGTTTTGTATTACTGCATCTTCGAACCTATAAATCACATTAATTAAAGCAAAGCACGAAGTTTTAAAATGGAAAGTTACATTAACACAAAATGAAACTTTATGATAGATTTAATCAGCAAAACAAGCGAATATACAAATAAATTTTAATACAAAAGATTTTGCGTTATTACTGGGAATTATCGGGATAATTTTCTTTTTCTTCTTCACACTTTCGAATAATACCTGAAAACAAAATATTTTTTTATAATTCCCATGAAAAGTCAAACATATTTTCTTTCAAAATATATTAAAATCTTACTCTTGCAAATTTCGTTTAAAGCACTAACGATTGGCGAATTTGGCATTTCCGTCAGAAAATTTTTACCCTCGTCGCAACATCTAGCTAGCAACGGATCTAAAGGTATCGAGCCTAAGAACTCTACATTTAATTCGTTCGACATCGTCCGTGCTCCACCTGACAAAGCTGGGAATATTTCTGCAGTATTCTGTGTACAAAGATGTTTCGTTAATTATATCCTTCTATTTTGTCCTTTTGTTCTATTCACATTGTCCTTACTTTGCATTTAGGACATATGAAGATACTCATGTTCTCAACCACACCCAAGATTGGAATATTCACTTTTCTGCAAAAGTCTATTTCTTTCCTGACATCCAAGAGAGCAACTTGTGGTGGTGTCGTGACAATTATGGCACCCGTTATGCCGGCATCTTTTAGATACAACGTAGCTGACAAATGTTCGTCTGATGTGCCAGGCGGTGTATCCAGAATGAGATAATCTAAGCTACCCCAATCAACTTCTGACAGAAACTGTCTGATCATACCTGAAGATATGCAGATAAATCTATTTACAATGAAAATCATATAGATTAATATAATAAGAATTATAAAAGATGAAATTTTAAAAGTACGCCGATACCATTCTTCTTTGGTCCCCTCCAAATAACTGCATCACTTGGAGTAAGCGTAAAACCAATCGACATTAATGATAAATTATCCTCGATATACTAAAACAAAATAATATGCAGTGTTATATAATAGGCTTTTTAGTGATATAATAATTCTGCTTCAAGGAGTTTACTTACTACAGGTGACCATCCTGATCCACTTTGATGAACTATTTCACCAAGTGCTCCCAGTACCCTTGGCTGCGATGGTCCACAAATGTCAATGTCCAGTACTCCCACCTAAATAAGATACACAGACAAGATTTGAAATGTGTCTCTAATAAAATTTATATTATCAAATTTTCCAATATATATCACAAAAATTAATTAAATTATATTTGATGTTGGTATTTATATCAAAAATATAAATACAGATACAATTTAATTATATTGTATCTGTATTTATATCTCTGAAATACTAAAATACTGACTTGAAATACTAATAATAAGAATGAGAATACTAAAAGTTTGATAATCAATAAGGAACTGGTACTGGTTGATACGACATACATAGCCATTAGTCGACTATAGATATTCTCTGTCTGAGGTTATTTCCTACAAGGTAGCTGCTAAGTGTTCACTATGTCAATATGTACATTGAAAATCATATGGATGTACTTGGAATGGGCAAAAGAGTGAGTTATTATATTAACTTGCTTTTTAACTTTATATAGATGTGAAGTTACTTATGTGACAGTAAAATATATGGTATCTATGTTAGCACATGGCATAATACACATAGAAGACACAAAAGATAAAGAAATCGAGTATTTGTTTCAAACAACGTTTGGATCACACAATATTTTCCTTTTCAGTTATGATTAGTTATATGCTTACATTTCTGTCAGGATTATTTGCTGCAAGACACCTCGATAGTAATGATGTCACAGTACTTTTGCCTACTCCTCCTTTGCCTGAAAGCACTAGCAGCTTATTCCGCACTGAAATAAGTCTTTCTTTCACAAGCGCAATACCAGGATCTGGTTGCTTGGTGGCTCCAGAAGAACATAGCGACTGATTCGGGCATCCTGCACAAGCTGATGCTTTGCCAGCACTCTCACTCTGGGTTCCAGGACAATCTAAAAATTTTTGCCAGCACTGAAAATGCTACAGTTTACGTTACAAGCACTATAAATTTTCAGTACTGGCAGTCAATTTTGAAACACAGCCATGATAGAAAGGATTTGACAGAAAAAGAAAAATGATGATTCACACGTATGATCTGTTTTCTGTTCTTGCACTAGACTGCTCTAGAACTCTGTTTCTCGCTTTCGACAAATACGATATCAAACGTATATCTATCTCACTTTAAGTAAAAACTAGTTAATATTTTAAAAATGTAACATTAAAAAATTATACGCTTCATAAACAATGAATGAAAAGTATCAAAATTAAAATATACAGTACTGTTCTAACATAACCTTTAATTTTGATTCATATTATAAGCATAATATAATATATATAAATGATACATATCGATAATTATGTAATTTCAATGAATATCAAGTTTATATGTCTTTAATTAATTCAATTTATTTTTTATACCGATTAAAATCGTATTGAGTATACAACTCACGTTCGGGAGCTCCGCTAGGTGCGTCTGCCATAGTGAATCGTTAATTTTTCTCTGATATACACATTGATGATTGTATAAGAATATAAAAAGTTTTTTCAAAATGTATTATTATATTTCGATTGTTATATTTTGTTATTTTTTTCTTTTTTCAAGAAGAAAAAATAACAGGATATAACAATAGAATATTATTTTATCATAATAATTTTACCAGGATAATTTAATTTTTTAAATAAATTTTTTCTTTTAAAAAACATGGCTGTTATTTTAATCTTTTGTATCTTATAATTAAATGTCTGATGTGCAATAAATGTATATCTGTTTCATTATATTAGAATAATTATATTTCTATTATAATCTATATGTAGATTTATTTAACAGAACACATAATTATTAATGTATATTTATTTCTCAAGATTTAATATGGGGGGGGGGAAATAATTCTAGGAACATGCTGACATTAAACATAAGTTTAGGATATGGGATATATGTGTAACTTAAACTCTTCACACAAAGATGAAACAAAAAACAATTACTTTTTAACTATACACTTTAATATATTAATTTGTAGCAATTACAACCATGGAGTACAGCCGCAGGTTCAATGTCTTATATGGAACCAGTAGTTCCGATCCGTATAGGTGACTATACTCGTACACACCATTTACTACCATGGAGACCAAATGTTGGATTTGAGAATACAGAAGTTGTTCCCTTGTAAGTAGATTCAACATTTTCTCTTAGAATTAGTTATGATTCATTTGCTTTAGCATCCTCCTAATATAGTAACAACTATAAGATGTTATGTTTTGAACCCTTTATAGAATGATATTGATTTAACAAACAGATACTGTACTTTTATATATGATTTAACAACTTTTGCTGTTTTACTATACATCTGCCGATTCTCGGTAAATCCTCATCTTACTCTTATCCTCATTTTGAATAAATATTCAGCACACAGATCTGGACATGGATATGAAGAGTATAATTATATTATTTTTTTGCAGAGTTACAAAGTCGATATCAAGTTATGCACTGGACGCAAATAATAAAATGAGTACAAGGCCGTTGAAATTTCCAAATCTGATTACGGGCTATCAACGCAATCCTGTTCATGCATCACAAGCTGCCCTTTATACGAGATATACACCGCATGAATGGTTTCAGAAACAAGTGAGATATTACAACGAGGCAGATTCACAGAGGCATTATTCCGAGAGGACGCGAAACGATGCCCTGAGAATTATCAGGTACAACTTCTTCAGAATAGTTTTTAAATATATTGTGTATAAAACCGATGTTAAATCTGAATTTCAAATATTTTTCAGAAATGCCGAGGAGAAGATACAGCATGGTCAATACGATACCAGCCGAAGACTTGGCGAGAGAATAAACGACATTACTTTTTGGCGCAACGAAGTAGCAGCGGAACTAGAAAGAATGCTTCATGAAATCGAGAGACTCCATGATTGCCGAAATATTTTAGAAAAGGCATCACGAGATATTGAAGGACCTTTACACATCGCAGAAGAGTGTCTGTATCACAGGGAAGCTAGAAAAGGTATGTGTGCAGAATATTACAAAACTATTTTAAATTTATATTTCATGTTTTAGATATTGTGCGTGTAAAAACTTACAATAAATAATTTTATATTTTTAGGCACAGAATTGGTACATGACGAGTCAGAAAAATGTTTGCTGCGAGAAGGAGAAAACTTGCGGACAAATCAAAAGAAACTGGAAGCCTGTTTGGACAAATGCAAGGATCAGGTAAATTATACCTTAATTTATATGATAGCAAAATTCCTAGTTAACCGATATGATTAAAATAATTAATGTTATTCTGCTTGTAGTTACGAAATTGCAGAGCTTCACAGAATCAACTGGAATTGGATTTAAAGAATAAAGAGAGTGCTCTAGGCATAGATAGTATTTGTCATCAATTGAGCAATCACACCCATGGATTACAATATTATTCTGGAATTGAGAAATACGATCCATGGTATTTAATTATATAGTATTTGTATAATTTTTAATAACAATTATAATTAATTGTTAGCTTGTTAGTGTTTCAGAGCAAGAAACCTGGGCGGATGCAGTGAATAGAATAGTGCAAAGATCCCAAACAGAACGAAACAAATCCTGTCAATTACGCACCACTGCTGAAAGTCTTGTGAATAAAGTCGCTCAGGAAATGTGGAATACTTGGAGTAATACCAACAACGCTTTAACACATAGATCGTCCGAATTACTTGAGGCTAAGAACAAGCTGCAACAGCATTTGCAAAAGGTACAAAGTATTACGCACGTAGTTTTTTTTTTATTAAACGCGATTCGTGAAATATTACAGGTGCAACAGGAAATATTCGACGTTGAAAAAAATTTGGAATTAATGCGTAAGGCTATTGCGGACAAAAGTTATGCGACCAAAGTTGCACATACAAGGATGGAAGCGAGGATGCATCGTCCTGATATGGAATTATGTCGTGACTATGCCTACGCAAGGTATATAACTTTATAATGTATCAGCAATATATATATATATATATATATATATATGTGTGTGGACGTTATTTGAAAATACTATTCTTATTTTGCAGCCTTCAGACAGAGATTGACGAAATAAATCATCAACTCGAGCGCATGCACAAGTCATTGAAAGACCTTGAGAATCAACATCAGAAACTGCTGCGAACTCGAACTATGCTCGAACACGATCTCGCCCTGAAAATAGACGCAATATATATCGATAAGGAAAAAGTTTGTGGTCTTAGACGTGCGTATCCTGTTAATGCTTTATTTAGATTTTAAAGATATATTCTCTGTTAATGCCGTGCTCTACATATGAATACTGCCATTTATGAGAATGTTCAGTCGTGTTATCATTTGAAATACACTCCTAAAGGAATTTAGGCTATGTGATATTTCTACGAAAAGGAGGTTTGAAAAAAAAAATATTATACATTAAATATTTATTCGTTTGTACAATTGTCATATAATTACACTAGAACTATTAAATATAATTACACTTTACTTTGTTGAATGACTTTTGGCATAGCTCGGTACAGGTAGCTGAAATCCAAGTTTGGCTTCAAAAAATGTATAGGAGAGAACTATTTCGTCAACAAACTCCATCTTTGGATCCTCTACGAATTCTGGATCAATGAAGAAGAACACTGGCATGTCAACCTTAATACATAAGAATATACATAATAATTTATACTACACACTGCCTAATTTAATCATATATATATATTGTATAAATGTTCAGAATTTCTGTAGAAACTAACAACTGATATAAAGCAAATAGAAAATGTAGCTGTTGTCAAAAACAGAAAAAACTGGACTATCATTTATTTGATGCTAACAAACTTACTTGTTCATGTGGGTTAAGCATCTGTTCCTCGAAACAGAAGCATTGTATTTTATTAAAGTATTGTCCTACTTCGAATGGTACAACATTATATGTGGATATTCCTATAATCTGGTTATCGGTCGGATTTGTGGCTGTGTAAAATGCTAAAGCCGTTTCTCCAGGAATAACCGTAATCTCCTTTTGCTGCGGTTTAAAGTTCCATTGCATTGACGATGCCACATCCGCATTGAATTTAATTTTGATCTTTTTGTTTCTAACAGGTGTCATCGTGGACACTTTACTAACATCATGACCAGCTGACAACGTTCCACCATAACTGTATGACTACAGAACAAAAAAAAATTCAATATAAAATAAATATAAGATAAATTCGCATTACACTGGATTAATAATATACACTAAAAGCTGTTTTATATAAAGTATCTATATGTAGTGGTTTAATATAATCAACTTTGACAATAAAATAATACATGTATATTCTATTAAATAACGTGACAGTATCATTATTGAATATTTGATTGTTTAAAATAATTATGTGCTATTTATAAAGAAGAAAAAATGTATGAATGAGAATGTAAAAAGTTAAAATGTTTAATGTAAACCAAGTCTCTCGGTTTTTAGGCCAATCAATAAAGTTTAAATATTTATTTTGCTCTTAAATTTAATTTTGCCAATTTTATGCTCAGCTTTATTATATTATTATATCATTAATTATAAACAGCCTTTTTATATTACTAATCTAGTGTAATGCAAATAATAGAATTTGCTAATGGTTATACAAATGATATTCAATTCCTTAAAGTAACATAAGATTAAGCTCGAATTTTAAGTAATATAAAATAATCCTTAGAGAATCACAACTGCACCTGACAAAACATTCTGTATAAAGGCACTGCAGAGTAACTTAAACCAACTACCAGAACTCCGACTCCAGACCAATAAAAGGCGGTGGAACGTAATTTCTTTCGGAACGTGTTGTCAGAATGGTCTTTCATTAAATTTCGCGACACGCTGGTATGTATTTGCCTCACGCATGTTCGTGTCAACAGTCGACAGATATTCAGGTACATCTCTTTAGTATTTCTCTACTCTGGTCCTGTCAATCCAAAACAAGAGGCTAACCTAAATACAACTTTTTATATATTCGCCGTTAAAAATTAAACTCTCCTCGAAAGCATAATGGCATTAAACGGTAGGCGACCGAGAACAATTTTCTCAGCAATACATCCGTATTCGATTTATCGTAATATTATATCACGAAGTTCCAATAAAATTTTTAATATAATACGATCACCCGGCGTCGAGTATCACACGAGGCTCCATATTGCTCATTTGCTCCACCGATAACCGATTTACCGATTGCGAACGTTTTAAGTTGGTAACCAATCTGATTCCACTATATTGGTAACATTAGGCAATCAACCCGGCACCTGCTACGTTTACAGATTTATACCATACGTTTACATAAGCTACGTTTACATCCAAAATAGGCCGCCTGTGACGTTTCAAAGCAATTGTGGTGAGATTTTGACTATGGCCATAGAATACAGGAATTATAAATTACTAATTTGTTTCAATTGGTATCATATTTTTAACTTTATATGCTTAGAATTCAACAAAAATCACATTGCATTGTGAATTCGAATATAATTTACCTATTA